GTAGGAGAGATGTTTATCTCATGTAAAATGAGATAAACATAACCCTTCTATATATATAGAATTACAGCATAAACTTGATATTCGGCGATAAAATGGGATTGGCAATGGCAGCTGAGACTTTGTGTCTCAGCTTCATTACACCTTCCACTTCAGTGCTGAGTCTCAAACACAAACACCAGTTCGCAGCTTCACCCAAACGATTCGTTTTACATTTTGGGCATCCAAGGTTATCATGTTTGGTCACCAGAACTCTAGAACCTTCTTCTTCTTCTTTCTCTCCTCTGAGGAAATCTGGACTTTATGCGGCGGCGTTGTTTGCAGAAGGGATTAACGGAGAAGAATCTGCGGAGCAACAAAACGATGACGTTTTTGGGGAGGAAGAAGAAGAAAGAGAGAAGAAGCTGGGAAGACCGTGTGAAGTATATGTGTGTAACCTCCCCAGAAGCTGTGACTCAGCACAACTACTTGATATGTTCAAGCCCCACGGAACCATTCTATCTGTTGAGGTTCTTTTTTTTTTCCTCTTTTTTAATTTTTTGTTATAATTAATGAATTATTTTTTTAATATCCCATTTACTAGGACAATCTAAAATAATTACATTAATTATTGGAATGCTTTTGTCGAGGGGTAAAGCATTTCTCCGGTGCTTAACGGAGATAACTTATATCCGTAGACTAAGATACCGGCTGAGGTTAGGTTAATGATTTTTATATATTTCAACACGCCCGTGGGCCGGAAGGGTGGACAATGCACGTGCCCACCTACATGTGCGAAGAAAGAAATTTCATTTAAAGAAAGTGGGAACTGTGAGAATTGAACAAGATACATCGAATACCATGTAAAAAAACCAATTCATCAATTCAACCCAAAAGCTTATCATTATAATTTTTAATTTTATAACCTAAAACAACATCGTTTTGAGCTCACCGGAGATAACTCTATCTTCCTGGATCGGAGTAATATTTTTACCTTAATAATTATATAAATGTTATCATGATTTTATTTTATCTGTTTTTAAGTTTTTTTTTTTTTTTTACAAGTTCTTAAGTAAGAAACAATATGAAAATAAGATTATGATCTTATAATTGTAAACACATATGCATGAATAGAAAAAAAATGGAAAACAAACTTAATGCTGCTATAATATGCAAGGTTCATAGCTTGTTCCATTTGTTTCATTTATTTATTGTTTTGATTTCTCTTGTTTGTTTGATTTTCTTATTCATTGTTATTTTGGGTTTTCATGGATTTCTTTGTATAATCCAAAGTTATAAGCTTTTCGTTGTCAAGTTTAGCTAGTTCAATTTGGGAAAATTTGCCATAACGTTGAATTTTTTAATCTTTGTAATCTGAATTCTGGATCAGCAATTCAGAAATGATAGCTGAGTATGATGTTTGAGAGCATGGAATGATCTTAAGGTCTTGTCTCTGTCATGTTTTACACTTTTACTCGCTTTGCTGTAGATTTGCCGGAATGCTGAGACTGGTGAAAGTAGAGGATGTGGTTATGTTAAAATGGGATCTATAAACTCAGCAAGAAATGCAGCTGCTGCATTGGATGGATCAGTCAGTATTGTGAAACTGTCTCCTTACTTGTATTAGATTCTATTGTACCCTGGATGTTTGATCTGAAAATTTTCTTTCCATTTTCTTATTTTGAGTGAAGGATGTTGGCGGTCGTGATATGCGGGTTAGATTTTCAGTTGAGATGAATCCTGGAAGGAGGAATCCTGAGAAAATGAACTCTAATCCTAGGAAAGTTATATACTATGAAGCCCCTCATAAACTGTATGTTGGCAATCTTGCTAGGACTGTTAGACTTGAAGAGCTGAGAAATCTTTTTAGCAGATTTGGTAATGTGGCTAGTGCTAGAGTGATGTATGATCATAAACTAGGGAAAAACCGAGTCTTTGCGTTTCTCTCCTTTCAATCAAAGGCACAACGTGATGCAGCAATCTCTCTCCATGGAACAGTAAACTCTGCTTCAACTATCTTACAATGTTACTTCATTTTTTTCTGTTTGTTACTTAGTTTGGTCTTTCTTGCAGGAATTTTGTGGTCGCACTCTGATAGTTAGAGAGGGTGTAGAGAGGACTGAGCCTTAACTGGAACTTCAGTGTTTGCATAAAGTTGGTAGCAATTTTGGTTTCTCACATGGAGGAAGATTTCTAGTATGTATGGCTGAGACAGATTTCCTGAACTCGAAAATGTTTTCCATTAAAATTCTGATTCATTCTCTTTTTTAATCTTTGTTGTATTTCTAATTGCAATGAGCAATATCAAAATATTGTAGGAGAGTCAAAAGGAGTTTTGAATTAACCCTGACATGTATATCACTCATTGCTGCAACTATTGCAGAGTATTGAGTTATGAACTTGAGAACGTGATTAGCCTTTTTTGTATTTTACAAGAGTAAAGCTAGAACATTATTTAACAGATGTCACAATGGTATGTATGAACAGCTTTGAGGACCTAACAATAGTTTGAGATGGTTATAATGGTAGCTTTGCTTTTCTAACATTGGTATGTAAGTCATAAAACTCTCTGCCTTCAAGATCATTGAAGTCGTTTTCCTTTATGCTTTCTAGCTTTACAGAGTTGATGACAGCAGCACAGGATACCGTGAACACTGAAGCATACCAAACTTAGTTCTACAAGAAAGACAATATAATGGGCATGAGGATATTGAAACACGAATATATCTTCCATTGGCGAAACATGAATCAGAATATCTTAGTGATATTGATTGTATAAATAACATCAAACCAAGCCTATTTACATTCTGCATGGCCAAGAAAAACCAGCCAATATTAGTAAGGGGAAGGATCCGTTTACAATCTTTTTTGATAAATTTTTACAAATTACACTATCTTCTTCCGGAAGAACATTAAACATAGTAAAACTAGTGTTCTCCCGGGAGAAAATAGTGTAGTTTGTAAGAGTTTGTAAACAAAAAAGTTTGTAAATATAATCTGCCCCTATTAGTAAATCACTTAAAAGATGCAACAGTTACCAATCACTGATAAGTACTTAAAGATACAGTGATGAAAATTCAAAATAATAATAATAATAATAATAATAATAATAATAATATGATTTGCTTATCTAACACCACAATTGAACTAATCTTTCTGTTTTTTTATGATGCATGGATAACAATTTTTAACATGACCCAAATGCGATATGAATATTTCGTATTCTTGTCAATCTGTATTTGCATTCGTGATGTGTTCATATCGTCCCTTGAATATATTTATCCCATCTATTTCACTTTATTTATGAATTTGAAATCATTTAAATAATTTTCATTCAAAAAATAAAATTGACGGTGTTAGAAAAATATAAAAGTTATTAAAAAAAGCATTCACTTAACAATTTAAGTTTTTAGATGAAATAATTATTTATCATAATAATAGAGTCTCACGAGATCACAAGTTCCCTCGTTGCCCCTCATTCTATTTAAAAATAATTAAATATTATGCATTATTCACCATTTTAATGGACTCTTGTACGAAGAAACATGTTAGAAAACTATAAAAATGATTCGCATTTTTTGTTAGATAAGCTTTCACTTAACAGTTTAAGTTTTTAGATAAAATGATTCGCATTTTTCGCACTTGCACATCATCCCGCAGACATACAATTCAAGTGACATCAGCACAGAGTTCTTAGGCTTCCTCAACAGCCATTAACTGATAGACAAACACAAGGTTTTAGCTAGATTTACATAACATAGACAACAAACAAATATCCCACAAAAAGTATATATGACAAAAGCCACTTAAATCCACCAATATAATTAAATGCCACTATATTAAGGGCACACGAGAAGTTCATGTCATCACTCTATAAAGAAGGTTGAAAACTTTAATTAAAAGATCAGACTAACTCTCTGTTCTAGTTCAATTTCTCTCGCAATGATCAAATTATATTATGTACCCTGAAAATTTCTATTGTATCATAGTACAGTTATATTTTTCAATGTGACAAGTGTGACATGCATGTATGTCAATCACTGTATTCCCTTTCGTCACCCAACTTAAATAAACTGTATATAAACCATATATCATAGATTCTGTGGGTTTCACTCGTATTACATGATTAAATAATTTGCTAATTTTCTTTTTTCATTGCATCCGTTAAAAAGCTACTTCTATTGATAAAAATGCATTTAAATTATTAAAATTTGATATTAATATTTTTTTATTTTAAGAGATAAAATTATCTCTTATATATACGTGTTAAAAATAGAATATGTTATAAATATTTGAATTACTGTTTGTATAAGATTAGATAGAATCCTCTGATTTGATTTAGTAGAAAGTTGTTGAAGATATTGTGGGTAGCTCCATATTTTTAGGATGTCATAGCTGTATAAATGTAACTCCAAATTGGAGAAGAAAGTGTGAATGAATATACAAGTATTTCAGTATCTCACTATCTCTGACTCTTTGTATGTTAGTATTGATGTTTTGACATGGTATCAGGTTCGTTCTGATCCTGGGAAGTGTTTAACTCCAATTTTTTTTACCCACCCGTATCCGTACCCGTACTAGACCCATTTTGTTATTTTTTGTTTTAGGTGCCATACCCGTATCTCTCTTTACCCGAAACCGACCCAAACCCATATCCTTTTTTTTTCCAATTATCCTCTCCTCTTCCCGATGGAGATCCCTAATTTTGAAAATGATACAGACACTAACGCCGTCCACCAACCACCCCCCCACCCGTCGCCTACATCTGCCAATCCTCCGTCCAATATTGTCATCCACCAAGACAATACTTCCTTCCCTATCACGGTGGTCCTGGATGACACCAACTATCCCCTATGGTCACAACTCATGGAAATGCACATCGGTGCTCGCAACAAAGTGGGTTTCTTGACCGGTGACACTCTCAAACCACCCGTCGCAGATCCCACCTATGGAGCCTGGCTCACTGAAAACCAGAGGGTGAAGAGCTGGCTCATTGAATCCATGTCCCCCTCGCTGATGCAACGATTTCTTCGCCTGGAGACTGCTCACGAAATTTGGGATGCTGCTCTTCGAACCTTCTATGATGGTTCGGATGAAACGTGCTTGTTTGATCTTAACCAGAGGTCTTTCAACACTAAACAAAATGGGCGGTCCTTGTCCATCTACTACAATGACTTGCTGTCAATTTTTCAAGAAATCGACCACCGTACGACTACTCAGGCGGGCTCTGTGGCTGATGTTCTCCACCTGCATTCATCCATGGCCAGGCTTCGCGTCCATATATTTCTGAGTGGGTTGGATGCTGAGTTCGAATCTGTCCGTGGAGAAATCCTTCGCAAGGACCCCAAGTTGGATCTTGAACGAACATACGCTTATGTTAGGCGTGAAGCTCAGCAACGTATCACCGTGGGTCGGCCCTCTGCGTCCTTGGATTCAGCTGCGTTGGTTGCCCACTCGCCGCGTCCTCCCTCTGGGTCAACATCCTCCAGACCTCGAAGAGACTTGTCCAGATCCAGCTCCCTTCAATGCTCTCATTGCGGTGACGTGGGGCACACAAAAATCAAATGCTACGAGATCATTGGTTACCCGGATTGGTGGGACTTTACCAAGCGTCCCCGTCGAAAGGTTCTCAACCGTACCTTGGGCACCACTGCAGCCGGTGACTCTTCTTCCCCCCCTCTTGCTAATACTGTTTATGAAGGGATTCTAGGTAAGTCCTTTGCTTCCTCTACACTTTCTCAGAATTCAACTTGGATAATTGATACTGGTGCATCAGATCACATGGTTCGTAATCCCTCTTCCCTTACCTCTGTTTTTCCCTGTGACAAATCACATGTTTCAACCGCCAATGGTGGCACCTCTGTTATTACTGGTCAAGGCTCTATCCAATTATCCCCTATGTTAATCCTTGATCATGTTCTTATTGTACCTAATCTTGAATGCAACTTGCTTTCGGTTAGTAAATTAACCACTGCCTTGAATTGTCATGTAATTTTTTATCCTGATTACTGTCTCTTTCAGGGAAACCACTCCAAGGAGATTCTTGGTTATGGTGTTAGGCAAGGAAAACTTTATTTTCTGGATGTATCACACAATAATGGTGCTTCGGCTGTTCTTGCTGCTCATACCTCTACGCTGGACAAAGAAAAGCAAGCAATTTGGTTGTGGCACCGGCGCCTTGGACATCCTTCCTTCGGTTATCTTAAGCATTTGTTTCCTAGTTTATTTTCAAGTCTTTCCATTTCTGAGTTTAAATGCTCTGTTTGTGAATTGGCCAAGAGCCATAGAATTCCCTTTTCCCCAAGCATGAATAAAAGTTCTATCCCTTTTCAAGTTGTGCACTCTGATGTTTGGGGTCCTGCAAAAATTCCCTCATTTTCTAAATCTTATTACTATGTCTCTTTTATAGACGAATGTACACGTATGGTTTGGATCACCTTGCTTAAACAAAAAAATGAAGTGTTTTCTGCTTTCCAACACTTTCATGCTATGGTCCAAAACCAATTTTCATCTTCTCTTCTTACTCTTCAATCTGACAACGGAACCGAATATGTTAATCGTGCTTTCACTACTTTCTTATTATCAAAAGGTATAAAGCACCAGACCTCCTGCCCCTACACACCCCAACAAAATGGTTTGGCCGAACGGAAAAATCGTCACTTGTTAGAGGTAGTTCGTGCCTCTCTATTTCAGATGAACGTCCCTACCCGTTATTGGGGCGAAGCCATCACTTCTGCTGCATACTTAATAAACCGAACACCATCCAGTGTCCTCAAATTTAAAACCCCTCTCCAAACTCTTGCCTCTTTTTTCCCTATCCCTCATTTGTCTAATATGGAACCTCGTATTTTTGGTTGTGTCACTTATGTTCATGTTCCACAACCCTTGCGTACCAAGCTAGACCCTTGTGCCCGTAAGTGTATCTTTGTTGGCTATTCCACCACTCAGAAAGGATATAGGTGCTTTGACCCAATTGCTCACAAAATGTTTGTCACAATGGAGGCCTCCTTCCACGAGTCAGAACCCTTTTATTCAGGGGGAGTACCTATTCCTTCTTCTCCGGGGGAGACATCTACACCTTTACTTGGAGAAGAAGACATATGGCTATCAACACAAGTTGCACCTTTGGCTCCAACCAACTCAACCATGAATGCAGTCCCTGAATCTGAGCAACAACATGCAGTTTTTGAATCTGAAAATACAGCAGAAAATACAGTCCTTGAATCTGAAGATGCAGCTGTCCAAGCCGAACATGAAGCACCCTCTCCAAGTGATACACCTTGCTTAACTCACATACCCGAAATCTCCCCTGTGGACTTCCCTGAAAGGCAACCAGAAGACAATTTCGAGGTACACACTAATCCCTCTAATTTATCTCCTCTTGACTCTACTTCACCTCTTATACCTCACATGCAAGTAAGGAGGTCTCTTAGATCCACCAAAGGAATACCAAAGCATCAGTATGAAGCTGACCCAAAAATAAAAACAAAATATCCAATTAGCAACTACATCTCCACTCATAAT